TTAGTTTGGGTGAGATTAAAATTGTTAATTCACAGGCATACTTTTGGAGAATAGGCATAATTTGATAATTGGCTATTCAATTATACCTATTGATAATTGCAATATTAAACTACAGCCTAATAACTATAGCCTCACACTATGAAAACTTAAAACTCTTTACAATTATGACATGAAACCATGTCATCCCTCATGAGTATTTTTCCCTTCATAAAGAACTTGCTTTCTCACTTTCCACCAGCCTACAAACTTGCTTGAAGTCAAACTCATCAGACTTAGACTTTATGTCATCACTTAGACATTGACACCCATTCTATAATAAAATACGTTTATAAAAGAATCTGTGAGCTAGACTGGAAGCAACTTAGCAAATATACTTTTCATATTTTGGCTTGAAACATTAAGGGATAATAATTTGTGCACAGCATATTAGGGATGACAACAGGGGCAGAACATGCTGAATACTAAAACACTGTTGTCTTTGCTGATTTTTAATTGATGCAGTTCAGCTGGTTTTCATTTAACCTGGCTCTTGACTGATGGTTATTGATATTATTCTTGTGAGCACGTCTCTTTCAAGGCACAGATAAACATGCATAAATGTACTACCTGGGCAAGGTATTACATTAATGTTTCTCAATTCTGTTTTGTGTTTGCTAACTCCACACTCTCTGGTTTTTGAATATCTGTGTGAGGAAACAGTCCCTGCTGTCAGAGTAAAGTGTGTGACTTTAAATGCAGAATCAACAAAGCTTATTTGCACTATATTTCTCCAAGAAACACGATGCATTTGCACATGGGAAAAGTATAAAAAAGCATGCACTGACAGCATCACTTCTTTTGCAGTTCATTTATTCATTTCATTTCCAAAAGCAAAGAGAAGCAAAAAGGGGAAATATGATTCCTAATGAAAAAAACATTTAATTTGGGTAACACCAAAGTGATTTAAGTGACACTTTCCCTTTTTATTAGCAACAATTAATGGGGTAGAAGGCTGCACAGAGCCCAGACTTCACAGAGGTAAAACAACATCAATGTGTGTTTTAGGAAGTTTCTTTCCTAGAAGCATGTTTAATTTAATGACCGAGTGACTAGGCCAGCTCTGTTGTTGCAAGGTTTATGTGCAGTTCCAAGGGTCACGAGTTCATTCTCCTGCTGAGGTTGACTCAGCTCAGACACTAGACAGAATGAAGCACAATAGGGCAGCCTGGCTGTCTCTGCAAAGGCTCCATAAATCCAAACATCTACCTCAATCTTCTGGCAGCTAAAACTCCTGGTGTCAATGAAGTCTGAATGGCTAACTAAGGTTATAGCTAAGCTTGCCTGCATTTGACATTTACATTTTTGCTGTGCATAAATATGCTGCACAAAAATACGCACCTTTTGAAGTTCACTGTTTTGATTAAGTGAATTTATAACACCAGCTAATTGCTTTCTCAGGCCGACCAGAAGGCAGGGATTTTTTCCTTTTACAGTGATATCTGATGATGAATTAGTGGTTTTCCTATACTATTACCAAAACTGTCTCTAAACCCTTTATTTAGTCAGAATGGGAGACAAAATTTAAAATTAAGCTACAGCAGTTTTTATTTTAGAGATCAGAGAAAGTCATTTATATCAAAAGAATGCTGTATAAATTTCACTTTTCTTTTTTTTCTTTTCAGTATGAAATGACGTCTTCTTTTTGTCATTTTACTTTGTATTTAGAACTACTAAACACACGAGATGTCAAGAGAAGAAGTGAATCGAAGTCTAGTAAAAAAATCACTTTCATTTGACCTCAGCCTGTCTGAGCTGTTATAAACGCTAATATTAATGTTCATTTGTTGAACCCTTTATATGACTAAATGATGGTAAAGATGTAACCAACGTATGTTAATATTATATCATGAAGAAAAATAACACTCAACAAAGTATACATTTTTTTAAATGGAGCAGTAGTTCACTAAATTAACTCTTCAAACAAGTGTGAAACATGCTAATTAAAATAATAGTGTATCTTAATGAAGGAGAGCATGGCCTAATGATAACAATTCACTCAGTAAATAAGCATGGTGTTGATACAAATTAGTGGTATAAGACATCTTCTCCATTTGCAATCACCTTGACAAGCTTTGAACTTACTTGACATATTAGCAGTATAACTGTTGTGATCTCATATATCTATTTAACCTTTCATTCTATAATATCACTTCAAAATTCCAGACAATTAATAAATGAAAATACAAGGACAAATTAAAAATTGTGTCATACTCAAAGTATATTTTAGACCTTAAATGTTGTACAACAGGATGACAGGAAACATATTTGGAAAACTAACATTTTTACTAATTTACTGATAAAACAATAAAATAGTCTATTTAAAACATTGGAAAAATATGATATACCATATCCTGCCAGGATTTTTATTGGATATTTAAACATGCATGACCTACACTTCCCAGCAGGCTATAAAACTGCAATGAGCTTGCAGAGAGAACTAAAAACACAAAGGGTACCCCCTAATCATAGTACTTCATTACGCCAGTAAATTATCTGCATTGCTTTAAAATCTATGTAAAATTTTAAAGGATCTCTGATGCCCCTTTACAACATTTTTCTGTATGACTTTAAAGCAAAATGCAACAGGCACAGGAAAATGGACTTGTACACTTGAGGGAACTAATACTGCACTTACATATGTTTGGTACTCCCAGATGAGCAAAGCTAATACTGTATGTATTGAACTGTGTGAGAGCATGTCCATCTGTTACAATCCACGAACTGCACAAGAGTCCAGTGTGAAATATAGGTTTGGCTTCATTGAGAAACAAGAGCATATTTTCTAGCATATAATGGACACAAATACTGTAGAACTTTGCTGCATGCTAAGTGGGTGTGTTATTTCTGCTAAAAAGAACTGGTACTTAATAAAATGAAAATGAAGAAAGATAAAATAAGGTTTATATTTCCTATGTGAAGTACACATAATAAAACAAAAGGTACATAAGAAAGATGATATATAAGCCAGTGGATACCGATTCCACAGTGGTCTAATGTGCAGCTCTGTGAAGAATAGTAGCTGATATACACTAGCTTAAATTTTAATGCATTTGTCTAAAGCCATCTACTGCTCCTGTTCTGCATCTACTGTAGTCAGTGCTATTATTAACATCAACAAAGTTGATTATGTAGTAACTACTATATGTGCATTAAGCAAACTCATAAATCAACTATATAATGCAATGTAAATATTTTACATTTTCAACATCAATTCCAATATGGTGTCCCAAGGTTGCCTATCCCCCCCCCCAAACAAATACTTATACAGTGCTTGCAGTTGTGCCAGAGAGCCCAATTACCAGTAGTTTCCCCGGATTGTCAATTGACCGGCTAATGAGGTCATGAGCAAATTAAACAATGAGGTGGAAACAATAAGGTTTCAGGATATGTTTAGTTTCATTAAAAACAAAGTTTAGTTCAAGAATTATTTTAAAGATGGGCAACATCTTTGAAATGATTCTTAAAACTAAACTTACTGTTGATGTGAAAAGCACAATGATCAGAAATGACCCCAAAAAGAACAATGACCCCAGCAGTCTTCATCAGAAAAAAAGATATGGTCTGGAATGTGATTTAATCTGCTGTTGGTGCACAGCATGAGTGCTGCATTTAATATGTTGTATAGTTATACATGTATATGATAGTACTGTACATCTTGTTTGGTTACACCTGTACAGCTACATCGGTATCCATGCCATATTTCTATATTGTTGATGAATGGTGAAAAGCTTCAGGAGTTCATATTATTTGGGTCATGCTTCAGAGATGCAGCAAGTGTAGACAACCACCTGTGTAAAAAGTGCAACCTTTACAGAATGCACTTGTATTGGAAACAGTGTACATTCAACTTAACACAGTGCTGTAATATACAGTGCTGTATCATTATCTTACAAATGAAACAAATGCAAACTATTCTCAGAAGAACCTATGTATAATTAAGTTTTTAAAGCCTCTAAATCATTTGAAACCTGACACACAACAAAAACATCCATCAATATTAATTTGTTAATTTATCAACAGCTTAATGTTTGTCAGTACCAATTGACTGTGACAGGACTAAGGTTGCATTAGGAAAGAATCCACAGGGGAAGCTTTTTGTTTAACAAGACAGCTACACCAATGTCAGTGCAGCAGCTGTCAGCCCATTGTAATTTTATATTCCAGCAATGAGTGCCCCTACCAATTGTGATATCAGAGAGTTTTGAAGATGAACCGAATGTGTCACCTTGCAAAGTGCCAGATGTGATGGGGACTTACCCCGTGGCTCAGGGTAATAAACCACGTACAGGGATGTCACTCCCATTGGTTCTCAACAGCATACAAATATACAATCCTATATATTTTTCTTCTTTTCCACTCTACAAGAACGGGTGTTTCAAAGTGTCATCATCAAGTTACCACATGTACACGTCAAAGTAAGCCTCACTATAAGATGCACACAATTTGTTGGAATTTGCTTTGTCTCAGGATTTAGCGGGAAAATCCTAACGTGAATGCCTAACAAAATGTCCTTGGAATTTGTCAGGAAGCCTTGACGTGTTTATAAATTCACTGGGATTCGCCCTTTGTAGAGAGCAGCCACAATTATCCATTGGGGGTTCCTTCAGATATAAAAGAGCAGCAATAATGACAAGCCATAAATCACAAGAACTGTGCCTCACCTGTTTAGAGGGAGTATGGACAGATCTCCAGGTGGAATGGTGGTGTGGTAACTGTAAATTCTAGTATGGAGTTTGTACTCTCTTCCCATAATCCATGTGGGATTTCCCCGAGCACTCCAGTTTTCTCCGACATTATAAGAGCATGCTGGTAGGTTGTCCGGCTCTACTAAATTGCCCATTTTATGAGGAATGGCAACTGGACACCCTTCTCATTAAAGAGCCCAGTCAGGAGCAACTGAACAATAGGTGGGTCTCTATTATGTGTTATCAAGGGGTTCTAAGCATTAAAAAGCAAAGTACCTCTTAGAATGTAATTCTGGTAGTTCTGGTCTGCTTCTGCTCCCACCTTTATCAAGCACGTCAGTCCTTCAGCAACAACAAATTCATGGACCAAATCCTTATCATCCTGCAAAAACAATACAACACATGAGTGAGCTGCAAAATCAAATAAGACAAAGCTATCATATTAGGCCTTCTGCTTTTTGTTCCTAGGAAACAAGAGGGTATTGGGGATGTAATAGTTTGTTGGGAATGTCTGCACTGGGAATGTCTAACCCAGTTTGATCCTGGGTTATGTACTTTCCAAAGGAAGAGTGGAAGAAAAGCCTGAATGGAACTAGTTATTATTTTCTACTGTTAGGCCTTTTTTTAAAAAATGCGAAATTAACTTAAAACTGATGTAACTCTTATGGCTTGGTTTCTGTCATACATGCAATGCTTTGGTTAGTCTGTCTGGGAAGGAAACCTTTGAAATAAATCAATATACAGCACAATTTCTGTGAAATCAACCTGTCAGTCAAGTGTACCCTGAATGGGATACAACTTCTGCAAGAACTAATGAGCACTTTAGGGGCTCTTTGGAAATGGAACTTTAAAAAAAAAAGTCTGTCCCAATTTCTCATTTTGCAGTCTGATAAAGTGAATCATTATATGATATGAAAAAAGAGAAATTCTTGGCCAAAAATAGCCATTTCAGTGCTAATAATTTGTACTTCACAGAAACCAGATGTGAAACTTTAACCACAGACATTTGTTGGCTTCAAAACATGCCCCAGCCTTATTTCCAGTGATATTACATGGCAGATATTTGGGTCATTCTTTGTGGTGGGTCATGAAAATATCTTGCTTTATCATTCAACTTAAAAGTGATCAAAAATGAATCAACTGTAAATACAGGGATTATATTTTCTTTGATCTCAATTTGGTTTTCACACACCTCAGCATAACTCCTGTGGCAGCAGTGCTTATTAACTTGCCGTCAATTGGACGAATATGTACTGCCTCACCTTTCTTTTTAAGAACCTTTAAATAAAATATTTTTATTTTAAGAACTTAATTTTAAAATACTTATTGCAATGGTTTATTTGTAATGATACATAGAGAATTAATTTGGATGAATACTCACTCACGACGTAAAAACATGTAATAAATCCAACGTCGCTATTTGTTTTGTTACTAAAGTGAAATCTGGAGGGTGTAGCTGATACCAGCTTTATTGTAAAGTTCTTTTTTCATTAATAGGTTCTACCCCAGGGATCTGATTTCAAAATATGCTCAACATCAATCAAAAATCAGCATAATCAAAGCACCAGATGTACGACATTGTAAAGATCGGACTGGATCGAATTTCCATTTGTTATTATTCAAAAACAGAAACTGATGAAGGCCCTCTGGCCAATCTGTTGCTCATTTACTTTTCTTCAAATAATTAGGAATGGAAATCTGATCTAATCTGAACTCCTGGTGCTTCACCACCGATTAAGCTGCTTTAGTACAATTAATCTGGGCTTTGGTCAGATGCTTTAAGACCATATTTAACCAAGTACTTTTCCTTCTCTTATGCTAAATGTGTTGGATTCTCTTTAACCAATAATTTTGTAAAATTACATAAATTCACAAATGAAAAGCCTATTATTGAACTGATTACTGTGCAAGGACGTGACTCTGTAAAGAATTTCATAGCCGTCAACAACATAAAACATGCCCTGACGAAAATGTTCAGTAGGTCGATGGAGTAAGCTGTGATATAAAAATGAACGGAACAAAAGCCATCAAGACATGCTAAAGCCAGCAAGCCAATTATTCTAGATATAACACAGGTGTGAAACATTTAGAAAACATGAGCTCATGTCTCGTCAAACAACTAAACCATGTAAACAGCAATAAAAAAAAGTTTATTAAATAATTAAAATAATGCCTTTATGTGACTTCCTTTTTAGCCACCCATAATACAACCTTTTTTTCTTCCTCTTTCGTTTATAATCTTTTTATTAGGTAGGTTCCAAAAATCATACAAACTTTAAGTCTCATGAATATGAATTTCCCTCACCCACAGACAGATGATACCTTGATCTGACTTTTGCTCTAAACAGCAGGTGATTATTTCTTTGCTGACTTTTTCACTGACATCTATGAGAAAGAATGGATTTCCTTTTGGAAATTTGATTTGATTTTCTTCCTATTAACATTTTGTTTGTAGTGTTAATGCAATGGTCATATGATCATAATATACAAGACCATCATTCAAGATTCTGTTAGTTTAAGAGATGACTGAGTACTTGTAGCTCAGTGACAGATTTCCCATCACAAAGGCAGTAAATTTGGATTCAGCTAGGATTCAGTTTCATTCATTGTTAAATATCTGCATCCTTACCACTTCAGTACATCAGCCTATACTGTACATCCTTAGCAAATAAAAGAGAGTTTCAATAGCTTTCTCAGATAGTCATGATCTTTTACAATATTCACAGAAACACAAAAGCATATGCCTATGAAATGTGCCATGGTCAAGAGTAAATAAAATGTTTTGCACTTCAGATATGTTTTAAGCACTCTACTGTAGGTATAGCAGAAGGTCTTCTCTGTCCATGCTGTTCAATTTCTGCACCGATACAATGGAAATTCAAATAATTGTCATTTGACACAAAGCTGAGCATTTTAAAATAAACTTGTATACTATACTGTACGTTCTGCAAAGACTGTGAAAATGTGTGCCCAAAGACATACTGTATTAAAAAAAAACTGGCAGAACAACCAATACCAGTTTTATGTGTTTTTAAAGTCAGTGTTAAATTGTGGCAAATAAATAATTTTCTAATGAATGGAAAAATAATTTTCAGACAACTTTAAGGAGTCCACTTATGTCACTTTTGGTATAAATTTCAGTCTGTGGTTTTGGCGTGTGTGCCTATCGCCTTTGCTGCTAAGCTCTTCCTAAAGCCACCCTCATCATAAACGTGCCAAACCTCCACTTGGCAAAGAACATACTTTAGCTTTTTTGAAAGACTTAAAATTTAAAGAAAAATTTAAACTGGTTCAAAAAAATTTAAAATAGTTTTGTTTCACAAGATTTTTGAACTTGACATTGATATGACTGAAGGTACAGGATAGAAAAGAAATTGAAAAAATATGAACAAGTCCAAAGTACATTTTTTCAGCCATTAAATGTCAGTTTTGATACTTTCTGGTGTTAAAGTTCATTAAATTATCTTTTTAGAAACAATTCTAACTAACAAGCTATTCTATAAACCAGACATTATGGGTTTCCCATATTATTAGGATTCTTGTGTCTTTTACAAAAAAAGGTTTAGTTATCTGTGTTTTTATTTGTTTTGAAAATTATATTGCTTTTAATATAATTTTTTAAATATATAGATGTGGCTTCTTGCATACCACATTCACAGGTTATGTTACACACAATTGATTCTAAAACTCTGGGAAGAGAAAGAGTTGCAGCATAAGCAGATGTTAAAAAGTCCATGTAACAGCGAATGTTACGGATTTTATACCTTTCTGTTACACATAATGTTATTAAAGTATTAGCTTTTCATCACCAATATGTCAAACACTATTGAATTTTACAATAAAGAATAATGCTTAGTGAAATTCCTACATACTTCTGCTGCACTTTGGTTCCAGGTTTGTTATACAACAAAATGCAATACTTAAAATATCGATATTTCTTGAGACATACAGTAGGTCCTTTTTCCTTAATTACACAATATTGTCCTGAATGTTTGCACTGATGCTTATTCTGTTCCTCTAGAAAGGAAAATGCAATCACATAAGCATTGAAAAAGAGGAATAAAAGATTAACATCACATACTGTAGAAAGGACCAGGAAATGGAAGAAGGTGATTAGAAAGAAACATCCCATGTTTAGGCTACGTACGTGCTTATAAAAACTTATGTAAACTGTAGTGTAACTAAAACACATCTTTTTGGAATACAGGTTAATTACTGTACTTTGTGAAAGTGTCACCATCAACTATAATGTCTGATCTTTTCCCCAAAAAACTCCTAAAAAGTGTTAATACTGTAGGGGAAAAGAGGGTATTAGACAACTGTGTCTCTTATAATCGAAGAAAGTGTCATTGTCCCCTTCTGAATTAGGGAATAGTAGAAAAATATTTTGCTCAAAATAATTATTTTCTGAGATAGCACAATGCCTAGAATTTAAACAAATTAACATCTGCCTTTATACAGATTAAATGTATTTACTGTATGCCTATGGGACATCATCAATTGTGTCTGTCATTTACCTTTACTTGTTGAGCACTGTCATGCCATTCCAAGTTCTTCACTTGTGTCAACATTTATGTGCAGAATCTTTTAAGAACCATATTCTTAATTATATCATATCAGCTAGTTTCCAAGAGTTATTATTCTACCAAGTTTCTTTCTAGTAGACCCAGTTTCTGAGTTCCTGGAATAGTATCTATCACAGAGGTATTTTAAGAGGTTTCAGTAATTTTTAAATCTTAAAAATCTTTTAATATGTCTTACAGAATTATTATAAAGAAGACTGCATTCATGTTCAGGAAATTAACAGATAAATATAAGCCAGGAGCTGAGTACGTCTTATCTCTCTCTTTTTTAAAAAAGTGGTGTAAATTTAGCATTATGTAATGATCATCATGAACAGAGTCAGTTACATTATGAAATTGAAAAAAAAAAAAGATTTAGCATCTTGAGGCAGAACCAAACCATGTAGTTTCTGAACACACACAGTTGGAGGCTGGATGTGCTAAAGTCATCAAGCAACAGTGTGAGGCCTTTCCTTTAACTCATTACCGAGACAGCTCATCTCACTCATAAACTTAACCTCACAGCACTCTACCAGATGCAAGGGAAAGGAAGGCCTGGGATTTTCAAAAATAAGCACAACTGTCAACAAAGGGATACAATATCTCACCTTTTCACACCAAAAAATTAAACCAAGATTCAAAAAGATACTGATCATGCTACACAAAGTGGCACCATTCCAAAGGATGTATTATTATTTTTATTATTATTATTATTGAACTATAATGTATTCTTCCTGTTGGTTACAAAGCCACAAGCTATCAATTTGTCAGATGTCTTCATATAAGTCTCTTATGGCTGTCTTCTAAAGCTGCACTTTTTTTAAACATAATTGATTACCATTTTATATCGCTATAGAATACTGTAATTGTTTTGGCGGACTATACTGGTCAGAAGCCAGACACCATGAGCTTTTCAGCTTAACTAATGGAAAACGGCATATCAGCCAGTGATGGTAAGGGTCTAATTCAGTTTGCTATTTTATTTCAGGGGGAGCAAAACCTTCCAGATGAATATGTCAAGTAAGGAGGAGAAGTGAATATATGGAGCAATATGTATTTGACATAAACTTAGAAATCTTCCCCTTGGGAATTTAATTCATTGCAAATGAATACTGAGAAACACTGGGTTTGTGTTTTTGTGTTTTACAGTCTTACAGTACACAGTAGTGAATCGCTGACAGCCCCCTGTCTCCCAGTTCCATTGTGTGAAACACCAGGCGTTCGCTGTTAATGATAAAACCACCTGCAGGTCGCACACCTGTCGACAACTTAATAATTTAAGCTGCCTCAATTTTACCCCTTTTTAAAATTTGTCAATGTAGTGGGGGGGGGGTCATCAATCAGTTTTCTTTCCGGAGAAGGTCCTGGCCTTTCCAGTGCATACTTTAAACTAATTAACCATCGAGAGTTGGTGCCAGATGAACTCATCAGTCATTGAACAACAACAACAACAAACAAAAAGACCTGGGCAGCAATGACATCACTGCAAATACTTGAAGGAGCCTGGAGGAAGAAAACGGAGCAATTTCTTTTTCTTTGCTTTAGAAAATACACACCAGAGAAACTATAAACAGTTTTTGTTAGCTCTCTGTGTGTAGAAATCTTAAAAGTGTTGCTTTCCTCAGCCTCAGAGGGGAGGGGAACTGAGCATAAACACCATCCCACATGAACCACAGGGAACCAGCAGAGGGGCAACTTTCTATGGGCTGGTTTCAGGGAACTATACAAAATCTGATAATCTCTGGCAACTCTACATCACCTTATTTCTTCTACCTCCTGCCATCGCTTACAAGATCTCTTTCCTCACATTCCACTGTTTTATAGGAAACTAGAGGCAGCAACTGGAGGTCATCATGATTAAAAGCATTCAGCTATTCAATTACTGGTTGGTGGAGTCCAATGATTAATGAAATTACATCCTAATGTTAATTGGCAATCAAGACAGTTCTCCATAACTGATAATGCAGGTATATATTTATTAACTACGTTTACCAACATATTATTTGTGTTACTTTTGGAATTTCCCAAATTTAAATATTGCTAGTAATTGAACAGAGATTTTAGTTTATTTTCCTTTAATTCTGAGTTTGCAAAAAGTACACAACAATGTCAGGTATGCTTTGAAGCATTCTGTGCATTCCGCCTTTACATTATCTCATAAGCAGATATTTTTCAATTCAACCTATTTTTATCCTCTCTTTTCTAACATTTTATAAGACAGAATTTTGATGCTAATCACATTTTTGGCATGTGCTGTTTGGCATGGTATATTTAGAGTAAATTTCTCATCATACTAAAAACGTATCTTTACTTCAAATTATTGTCTTCAAAAATGTTTTATGTCTCAAGAAAGAACAAGAAACACGCCAACAATAGACACAAAAAGCATTACAGAAAAAGTTTAAAGAAACAAAATGTTTTATTTTTTCAGTTTTGAATTAAGTGCTTCTTGACAATTTACCAATGCATTAAAACTAAATTATTTTAGTCTTGGATTAAGATAAGTATTTATTTTGGCAATTGATACTCAGACTTAAATGGCATTACAAAAAACAGATTCATTTTAAAAGCTCATTTTAAAAAATGGAACAATCGGCATTTATGGTTGGAATGGGAGTCTGTGTACTGTACCAACAAATATTCAAAATGCTGTAGAAGGCATGCTAACAATATCTGATAAAGTGTATGCTTAACGACTTATGATTGCATTAACAAAGCTAATGAGGATTATTCTTTTGCAATATCTTTAACTTTTTAAAAATATTTTACCTTATATTTTAAAAATGTATGGCAAATACTATTTCTGCTCTTTGGAAAAGCATGTGGAATAATTTAAACAAGTTTAAATTTGTTTCTGATAGGTAAACACGTTTTTTAAAGCTATATTACATTAGACATTTTTACTTCATCCCTGGGTTTTTCCCTGTATAACCACATTAAAGACCTGCAGTGCCCCAAGCCATTTGTGTGCTGACAATGAGGGTGTTTCAAAAAGGTGTTGCCTATACAAGCAAAAACCCCACTGATTTTACCTGAAAAATCTGTTTCAGAGAAAACAGAGCCCTTCGCAGCTCCCGGCCATTTGAGTTGTAGAGTTTTTCTGTAGGAGAGACAGAAAAAAAAGTCACATTTAGCCAAAGTTTGTCAGAGGTTAGAGCACATTTCTGGTGAGATAAAATACAAGCCAAGAAATAAAAATAAGATACAGCAAGTGGTATAAGGGTGTTGTCTCTCAAGAGCAGCTATCAGGATGGTTAGGAAAAAGCATTTTTAAAGTACCTTTAAAAATTTCAATAGAACATTATTCTTGACCAGCATGGCGGTGGAGTGGTTAGGATTGCTGTCTCACAGCACTGGAGACCTGGGTTCAATTCCAGACATAGGGTTCTATCTGTGTGGAGTTTATATGTTCTCCCCATATTAGCTTGGGTTTGTTCTAGGTGTTTAGGTTTCCTCCTACAATCCAAAGACATAGGGGTACTGTAGGCTAATTCTGGGAAAACAGTCCCTAGTGTGAGTCTGTGCATGTTTGTGTCTGTGCTTGTCCTGCGATGGACTGGTATCCCATCCATGGTGTATCCTGCCTTGTGCCTATTGGATACAGGCGATGAGACTCAAACTTCTTTGTTCCACATAAAAATATGTCGTATGTTTAGGTCTTTGACGTAACGTTACAAACAATATATTAAATTGCTTTTAATCTTGTTGCAAACAGTTATAAGAAATATTGATACTGCTTTATTTGAATGTTAAATATATAAACATGCAATATAAACTTAATGTACAATACATTTATGACTTCTTTTGCAACCCTTGAGCTGATGTGTTACCAATAAGTCTTTGAAGTATGTGCTTGTTTCATTCAGTCATTTCATAATGTAATGAAGTGTTCATGGCCAACAAATACACTTAATTTGAAAGAATTCTGAAACAGCATCTATAAAGGCCAGAATAAAATGAAACACAGGATAGACAAGAGGCTTCATACAGAAATGGTTTAATAGAAGGATCTTTCTGTGTAGTGGACACTGACACAGCATCACTTCCACTTTCAGTGAAGAGTAAAATGTGTTTTAAGGTTGGTAAAAGTCATGCTCCAGATATTTTTGGGGAAGAAAAAACACACAATTACACAATTCTGTAAATTTTGTGCTTTTATATTTCAGGTGCTGAAAGCCTGAGTTTTCATTTTAAAAATAAAAGGGTGCAATAAAACCCAAGAGGGAAAAGGTTTTAAAAGATATATTTGCTTTCTTATCCATTTCTGAAGCACTAATTCTTTTGGCAGAGAGGCACCTTGGCATGTGGCTCTTTCTAACATTAGCCAGAACACCTTCAATCAGAGCCTGTGTAATCTCGTGCTAAAGCCTGAATATTTCTGCTATAGTCCACCAGACCTGCTGGATAGCTTTCCACTGACAGTGATGATTATAGATGGTGACAAAAAGTACATGTGGTACATTGACTCCTGGCTTAAGACCACTATTCAGGATACTAGACTCTTTCTTTGTGCTGTACACTATTGTACGTCTGTGTGAGAGTATGTGTGAGTTGAGGTGATTATGTGTGTGGGCATGTATTATTATCAGTGTGAGGAAAGAAAATGTTCCTCATAAACATAGCAACTCTTTATAAGGGATAATGTAGGAATGTCAGTGCAATGTAAATGTCTTTTTTGTGGAAGTGGTTTCTCCTTTTAAATAGAAAGTGACTGTTTTAGATGTATTTTTACTCTTTGTATAGTCTCATTTTGTCAGAATTCATAATATCAGTTAAAAATAATATGCAAGTCAATTTGACGTCCCAACAAAGAAGTAAAAACATGAAATGTAGGTGTTCATGCAGGAAGTAAATTACTTCCTAATTAAAAGAAACTGCTAAAAAATAAAAGATATCGCAAACACCTTATATCTTAATTCAGTACAGAAACCTCTAAAAGTCCTTAAATTACAAGTTTATTCCTCGATTTATACCTTTCTTGATAATTCTAATAAAGTTTAATCAATTGAGACCACTACAATGATCTCCCCTACCTACTGTGAAATGCAGGGGCTAACTGAATTCCACAAAAACAACAATTTTTTATCTAGCAATCGTCCTAAAATCATTAAATTAATACTATGACTGTTGTACTGAATTATTTCAGCATTGAAACTTTTAAATTGCAATAGAGTCGGTGGCTAGCTGCCAGGATTATGGAGCAAATTCTGACCTCAGGTTTAATTATGAGACACAGAGCAAGGTTTTGGATCTAGAAATTTCTGGAACAGTCTCTTACACAACCTACAGGTATGTAGTACTTTTCAGTTTGGGTCCGACATAACTTATTATTATAATTATTTTCTAAGTGATTCAAAAGCATACTGATTTGTTTACTACGGAGATCTCACATTAGTACATTTTCTATTAATGATCACGCTAGAAACAGACAACTTTAACTGTTTAGTACTCTATATCTGTCACAGGATCACTATGAACATGAAAATGACCAAATTGCAAAAAACACCATCCATTAAAAATAGAGATATCAGAAATGGATGCTAAGTTTCAAGACACAAGTAATGTGGAGTTGGTTTAGAGGCACATTTAAAAGCTAACTATAATTTAATGAGATTTTGATGTCTGTTTACATAGATACTGAATTTCAAAAGTGATTACAGAAAAAGAAACAGAAAAGATACAAATGTCGCCTTACATTAGAGACATACAGTATTGCTTTAACTGATTAATAGATAGACTGTTTAGAACAGGTTTGTCCAATCCTGGTCCCAGAAGGCTACTGTCAACAGGATTTCATTCCAGCTCAGCTCTTAAGAAGCTAAATGAACTCATTATTGGCTTAAAATACCATTTTAGAAACTACTTATAGTTTTGCAGGTAATTACATTTTTCTTATTATGATATTACTTAAGATAGCAATCAATAAACTTCTTTTTATTTCTATGCAGTAATTATGCTATACAGACATGGCTGAACTAAGATAACAATGATAGTGACAGGGGTTAAGGAAGTGGAAGTGGGGAAAAGACTACCCACCCATGTTGCTGAACACACAACACCCTGTAGAAATTCCATCATAGTTGATTGTACTGTAGCTAACATGTACAATAGTAAGAGAGAACATATAAATGGTGCAAACTGCAATGATGTTTCCATAATGGGAAAAAAGTTAATAATGGGAAAAAACACAAACTACAGTATATTTAAAGCACAAGCTTACATTGTGCAAATAAATTAACATCTGAACATTGTTTTTAAGAGGTGTTTACATGATTAAATGCACATTCTAACAAAAGTGAAATTTGTTTGAGAAAAGGGATAACCAATGTCAAAGTTTTGATGATCACTATTTTTTTTTTTACCAGAGAACCACTTAAGCCAATCTATAGCTCTCCTGACATCTCCCTGCCAGTGTGTGTCACTGTTGGGCAGCTCTGTTTATAATTCTGACAGCATAGTGAATTCTACAGTCTGTTGGATGTTACAGCAGAAGACAAGATGACTTGTTCTTTCCTCAAGAAAGTGAACATATTTAGTGAAAATAGGGTAAAAAGCTTTGTTTCAAAACCATTAAATGCAATCCTGCAATTCAGCATTAATTCACAGTTTTTAAAGTTACTTCTTATAAGTAAAGGAGCAGCCTTTCATGTAGACATAAGGATTAAGTATTGCAACACAAAAGAGAAGACACAAACAGAGCACTGTGTGGCAGTGTGTTGCAGCTGTGTGGCAGCAAGTCCTATTCAAAGAAGTCATTTTCAAATGCATTGTGACTGAAAGTCTCATGGAATACAGTAAAAAAAGAGCAAAACCAAAGAAAAAAAGTATTTTTTCTCAACAAGGCAGTCCACAAGTTCAGGCCTACAAGCCTGGGTTGGAGTGCAATTTGGTCTTTTTAATTACAAAAGCTTAGCTTTAAATCAAACCAACTTATTTGTGTTTTCTTAATAATTGAACAAGTATCCTAAGTATCTTGTCAGGAGCCATCAAAAACTATCCATCTGCAATACTGTATCTTTCCATGGACAGGGTGTTTAAAGATTGCACAAGATTACTGGTGACCATATAGAAAAAAACTTCTACTGATCTTTTCTCTCCTTACTGCACACTAAGGACCCTAAGGACAGGTTTTGCTGAGATCCACCCTGTGCTTTATTTGTACTTTTCTAGCAACCTGTATGGTATAGTACTTCAAGGCTTTAACATAAACATTCTTGGGGTACTTGTTACAATGAGGGAAATTTACTGTGTTAAAAAATAGATTATTATGTGGCTTTTCTAAGCCACAGAATGATGGAAGAGGAGAATTGGGTTAATGCTATAGATCAACACCTTGAACTTTGAAAACAGACAGTCAAATGCAGTCCTCTGTCATCCATCTGTACCAGCTAACTCCATAATATATACAGCACAGTGGCTGAACTCGACACACATTCCCATTGGTCAGTCTGGCTTTTGCTTCAGGAAATAAGTGTACGGAATGCATATATATATTTTGTTGAAAGGAAGTCATCCCTCCTGAGTTTCTGTCAAGTCTTAGGACTGTGCTACCTCAAGCAAAATAAAATCAACAAAGTCAAATGAATTGTACATTACAGGAAAAACATACAACTCTGGTAGTTCTTTTTCCCCCTTCCAGGGCACAGAGAAAGACCTCATGTTTTTTTTTTTCCACAACCTCAAATGAACGGGGCATAGAGTTCATTTTGGATTCTGACGTGGTCAGAGCATTCTGTTCCAGCGATAGCACACAAAACCAATAATTACAATAAAGGAAAATGGGGCCTTAACTTTAATATGTATCTTGAAGTGCAGGAGGTAAGTCTGCATTATGATGTTTGACCTGCATATACTGTACTTTACCTATATTTTTGTTGCTGATAAGTACAAAATAATATATACTGCATTCTTGCTTGTACCACATATTCATACAAGGTTTTGCTTATATGGTTAGAATTAATCCCCACAACAAATAACCAGATTGGAAATAGATGAATGTGTCTGCTACAATGCCATCAAGCAATGGATCTGTTGCTTGTTTCATCATCTGGAATTTTCATATTTCCATTTCGGTGCTGCAAGTTTTATTTTGGAACTTAT